AAAGTAAAAAATAAAAAATTTAATAAAAATTTATAAATAAAATATTAAAAAAAATAAAAAGTTTATAAAAAATAAATAAAAATAAAATATTTCCAAAAATGTGAAAAAGTAAAAAAAAAAAACATTTTCGACGTTCGGCCTGACATTTGCATATTTTCCCCATATTTTAACCCTTTAAATAGACTGCAATACAGAAAGAAAACCCCAATATTTCACCAAAGCCCCCAACAGTGAAGTGAAAAATGTTTTATATTTAATAAAAATAAACAAATAAAATATTTAAAAAATGAAAATGTTTATAAAAAATAAATGAAAATAAAATATTTTATAAAATTTGAAAAGGTTAGAAAAACAAAATTCGGCCTGACATTTTTTGTTTTAGTTTTAAAAATTTAATTTCGCTGCACCTCTAGTTATTATACCTAAACATGTAGAGTAGCAGTTTTGGCATTATTCAGAAGGTCCAATTTCTGCTGGCTGTTCTGACTCTATAAAGCCTCCTGGCCTATCTGAACACAGCTATTGGAGCAATTTACAAAACAGTGGCAAAACAATGTAACTGTAAGCTGTAGCACACATTGGGTTTCTACAACTCTCGACAACAGCACTGGTAAACAGTGCTGAGGCTGTCACAAAGTCAAAGAATAATACAGCAAGTCCCCTACTTACAAACGGGTTCCGTTCCGAGAGCACGCTCTGAGGTCCAACTTGTTTGTAAGTCCAACAAAGTTAGCCTAGGTGCACTGCCCAGCTACATCACTGCTGTGTTCAATCTTGCTTCAGGACATCCGGGGCTTGAAATAAAGATATTGTACTACTGTACTCTATAGAGTACTGTACAGTAAAGTACACAAAAGCACACACACTTGACAATGTATGCCAGACATGTGAACTAACTTACATATCTTTGAAAGTTTTGTAACTTAAATGTTTGCATGTAGGGGACTTACTGTACACAATCCTCTGATGGATTCTAGATAATGTAAGACAAACAAAAGATCAAGAAATGTATCCGCCAAGAAAGAGACATCTTCGCTATGGACTTGAGAAAAAGGGATAGACAAAAATCACTGATGGGAAATCTCCCCATTACAAACTTCAGGAGATTTAAGTTGTCCTGGGCTTTATACCATCAGTACATAGTTGTGGGTGAAGTTGGACTTTGGGAACATGCAAAGGACAAGGCCTCATACCTTCTCTCGTTGTCATCGAGGTGTGCAAAGAGCACATTTTTGGAGATGGCTTTTGCCAGGGCAGTCATCGTCTTGTAGTCCTTTGGAATAACCTGCGGGAAAAACAACAGAGCATTTCATTATGTTCATGCTCCTGGCATAGAAAGCTGAGCGGTTCCATGAAGAATGCAAAAATGCATCCAAAAGTTCAGGACCTCTCATTTAACACAGGGCTAGGATGGATATCCAGGAGATTAAATATAAAATTCTTTATCACCAGCACACTCTCCACCCCTCATAAGAAAACCATTATTTTACCGTTTCTGACTACACATGAATATCACAGTCCTGAACAGTATAATTAAACTGAGTATCACTATACTGTATCTTTTTGGCGTCTTTTGCCTAGGAAACTGAGCACCCTCCTCAAGTTTCAGTTATTAATTATTTTCAAGAAAACTTCTCGACTGCCAGTTTGATTGTGGATGTAACATGTCTGCACCTGGAAACATTTAAGGGTACGCTCCAGTCAAACATGACAATCTGCTATGGAGAAAGGAGGCACAGATTAGCTGCACAGTGCCTCTCTTCTTTATCCTGTACACCATGCCCCCCTACTCTGCATATCCCCTTGGTAGTCCTTAATTATTATTAATATGATTACAGGTAATTATAGAGCGCCAACAATTTACGCAGCACTTTACATAGTTGCACATTAACATTAGTCCCTACCCTCAAGGAGCTTACAATCCAATGTCCCTATCTCACATACATACATAAAGGGCCAACTTAGACAGGAGCCAATTAACCTACAAGCATGTCTTTGGAGTGTGGGAGGAAACTGGAGTACCCGGAGGAAACCCATGCAAGCACAGGGAGATCATGCAAACTCCTTGCAGATAGTGACCTGGCCAGGATTCAAACTGGGGACCCCCAGTGCTGCAAGGCATAAGCGCTAACAACTACGCCACTGTGCTGCCCCATTAGGTCAACGCCCCATTAGGTCAACGCCCCATTAGGTCAACTGAAACTTCCTGCCATCAAAATATAGAAATAGCATGTATCTTTTGTTTTTTGCATATATCTACTGCTACCGAGCAGCAGATATATGCAAAAACATTGAAAAAAATAAATGTCACCAAAAAGGTTAAAGGAGAACTATGGGGTATGGGCTTGCTGTCACCATGTGCCATGGTGGCATCCCCTGCTGCCTAGCAGGACTGATAGGGAGATGGTATGGGTGGGGTCTCAGGAAAACAGATTACCTGTGCCTTAAAAGGGGCAGTGCCAATCCTGCCAGTGAGCTCCTGCATCAGGCACTAGGAGATGTATCATATTTTACTGCCAGAGCTGCATATTATTTGGCTCATGCACAGGGCACAAGACCCCAAATACCAATTACAGTGGAGTACTGAGCGCAAGGATGCTGGCAAATTATTATATTACATAGAATTTAAATTAAGATAAGTGTTTTTTTCTGACGTACTAACTGCACAGTGGCAGTGGTTCCTGAGTAGTATTATCACTTTTGTGAATGCCTAAAGTATAATTGTTCTTTAATCCACAGAGACAAAAAAAGAACCGGTTGATAATTGTCTTAGCTCTCTGAATGACATCCCCGCAATCAGTAATTATTTGCTGTGATATTTTATTCTCTATAAATGGTCAGATTTTTTTACACCTACACTGGAGGTCCTTGACGTGTTGTGATGAACTGGGGAAGCCTAATGATTGGTTTGAACGTGTTTTCTTTCTGTATCATCATTATTAAATGATTATTTTATTCACCAATTCTCAGCACTGTGAAAATACCTAATCACTGGTTCTGTATTCATTTACGGGTAAAGTGAAGAAAAAGAAATCTGATTGGTTGCTAATACTTTCTGCATAGCACTCATCATAAAAATAAAAGTGGCGATAGTAAGAATGTTTTTGGAACAATTTCAGGCAAAATGAACTTACTCATCCTGCCTAGCCCCCTCAGATTCAAAATACCCCAACTCCCTCTCCCCCAGGCTGGTTACTTGCTTGCCTGAGTATTACCATTACGACCTGCTGGTAAGTTTACATTTTGCAGCCAAAGCAATTGCAGCCTCCATATTTCTCTCGGAAAAGGTTTCCATTGTGTGTAAACCATAACAACAGGTTTTTCTGACTTGCTGCCATTGGGTCTGGTACTGTAAATCTACCATTGAAAAGGTTTGATAAGAACAATAAAAAGTTGATCATGTTAAAAACACAGTGCTGTCCTGTGCACACCTTCCATGTTATCTCAAGGAGTCTAATTAGCCCTCCTTCTTATCATGGACTACAGATATCATGGACTACCACTATGCATAATGTGTTTTTGTATAGTGGTGACGATAGTGGGGTGGGGGCAGAGACGTAGCTAGCTCCTTTTGCGCCCGAGGCAAGAACAGAAAATTGTGCCCCCCCCCCCAACAGACCTG